AGAGAGAGAGAGAGAGAGAGAGAGAGAGAGAGAGAGAGAGACAGAGACAGAGACAGAGACAGACAGACAGGGCCAGGGAAAATAATATACCTCTGTAGGTCACTCCCCAAGTAACCAGTCTCTTGTGGCCAATCCTTATCTTTGCATATGACTTTTTTTTGGAGGGGGATCATTTTATATAAATCATAACATTCCACTGTGTCCCCCTAAAGCTCATGTCCATCTCATTATACATTTATTCCATCTCTAAAAGTTAACAAAGTCTTAACAGTTTCAGCATTGCTGAAAAGTCTGTCTCCTCTGAGACACAAGGCAAACTGTTAGCTGTGAGCTATAATACAAGATAAAAAAGAAAGTTGAATACTTTCAGTGTACAGTTGTGCAGGGTATACAGTCTCACTCCAGAGATGAGGACTATGGGAATAAAGTGGTATGAAACCACACCTGGCAGAGCATACATTAAGTCCTGCAGCTTGATGGTAAGAACCTGGGGCAGGTTGTGGTGAAGTGTGCTCCAAAGGGTGTGAGCAGTGCTGTCCCAAGGCCTTGCTGATTTGCAGCCCACATGGCCTCTCTCTTGGCCTGGCTTTGCCTACCGCATGTGGCTTTCCTCAGCAGATAATTCATATATCTGAAATATCCAACATCCTACGGTTTCCATTGCACCTTCAGCTTACTTCTCATAGCTCTACACGCTGCCCTCTCAGGCACATAGGCTACCTTCTCAAACATTCCTTTGAGATCTGGTGGAAGCTTCCATGACCCCATAATTCTTGCATACTATGTGCCTGAAAAACCAGCAGTACATAGACAGCACTGAAGTTTGCTGTCAGCTCTAGGAGTAATCTGGCCCCCTTTGATGCAGCAGCCTGTCATCTGGGTGTAGGGAGACACCTTTCTAGAGAACTCTGAACGAACAGAGCATCCTGGGCCTTTTTTCTCAAAGCAAGGACTTGCAAAAGAGCTCACCCTCCTACAACATTGAGCTTTTGAAGGATGAGTTCTGGCCAATTACTGAGATGTCTTTAAGTCATCTTTCTTACTGTCCTGGTAGAAAGCACTTGGCTTCTTTTTAATGCTAATCTTTTCAGCAACCATCACTCTCCTTGACCCAAACTTTTCAGGCACTTTCTTTCTGATGAAACTGCAGAATTTTCAAATCATTCACCTCTGCTTTTTGTTTGTTTCTCACTATAAATCTAGCTGAAAGGAGCAAACAGTACTCATGCCATAGTCTGAATGTTGGGCTGCCTTGGCATTCTGTCTGCTAGATCAGTTAACATTGCCCTTAATCTCACTTTTGCACAAAATATCAGGACATTGCCAAACTAAGACACATTTTTTTGCCAGAGACTAACACACAAGGCTTCTAGTTCAGTTGCCAGTGGAATCCATATTCCCTACTAAAGCCTCCTGATCCTGGCCCTTACTGTCTATACTCTTAGGGGCATTTTGGCCTTCAGAGCTCTGATTAGAATCATCCATTAGGCTCTGCTTACATCATTATAGTGCTTCTTTAACCTTCATCCTGAAAGCTTACCAAACTCCTTTAAATCAGTTCCAAAGTCTTGTAAGCTACATGGTCAGGTATAGTACATACCACTGACAGGACTCCTGTCATCAATTTTCCATATTAGTCACTTTCTCACCACCAGGACAAACATATCTGACACCAACAATTTACAGATGAGGTTCATCTTGGCTCCCAGTTTCAGAGGGTTCAGTCCATGATCATCTGGCTCTGAGACAGAGACACCAAGGTGGAGGAGAGCCGCTTACCAGGAAGGAGAAAGAGGAGGGGCAAGAGAGAGAAGAGTGAGGAGGGAAGAAAGGAAGGAAGAAAGGGAGAAGAATAGAGGAGAAGAAGAGAGAAGAGGAAGGAGAAAGAGGAGCAAAGAAGGGAGCCAGGAACCGAGGCACAAAAACACACCTTTCTAGGTCATTCCTCTAGGCTACTTCTGACCAGGCCCCACCTCTGAACACATGAGGTTTGTTGAATCATTTTAGATCTAGACCATGACAGGGATTATGAGAAAGGACAGGGTAGGATCATGGAAAGCAAATAATAATCATGGCCCCTGTGGGCCTACTGTGGGACCCTAAAGGATGAAAGCTGACTCTCACAGGGAGTACCCTTGTGCTTGTCTTTCTCTAGGGGTCTGTCACTGTAATGATACTATGGGCAAATGATGTCTCCTCTGGTCTCTTGCTCCTCTTCTTTCACACATACAGGGGGAGCTTCCACCCCAGCACCCTTAATAGAGTCATCTTGCTCCTGCAAATGGGCACCTAGGGCAGTTTCTAGTGCAAGTCAGGCAAGCTCCCCTCTGCTTGACCTGCATCTGGCCCATCAGGATGTGGGCAGAATTGTCTATATGGAACCATTTGTATCCTTTATTGATTCAGCTGCACAGACAGGTCTTTTGCAGTGCTCCAGCTTCTTTTCCTACATTAGAACAGCCAGAAGTTCTCTCACCAGAGATACTTTAGGGATGCATCACTGTAAAATGGACACTAGCTCAGGGTGTTCCCCAAGCTTTAGGAAGGAATTTTCAACTTTGACACTATTGACACTTTCAGGTGGATGCTTCTCTGTTGTAAGGATTTTTTATTCTGCACTGTAGGATGTTTAGCAGCATCCCTGGTGTCTATCTATTAGATGCCAGTAGACTCCCTGTTCTGCACTGAGCTGTGACAAGAAGAAATGTCTTCAGACATTGCTAACCACACCTACTGAGATCTATTGCTCTACAGACAGTCTCTATCAGGGACCACATTGAAACTGTAATTAAGGCTTGGTCCCTGCTTGTAGGACCACCCATAGAACTCTTTCCAGCTAATTCCTTAAGCCTTCCTTACTGGCCTCTCTAGCCTCTTTTGTGGGCCAGAGCTAGTTGGTCAGTCAAGGATTATGAGACTATTGACTCTGCCTTGGTTGGAACCCTCAGGTTGAAATTGGATATCCCTTTTCTTAAAGCCATAGCCTAAACCAATATAT